GTATAACGTTAGTCAAATAATTTTTTATGGATTTGCCCGCCAAGTTGCCTCTAATGCAATGATGTCAGTTAGCATGAAAAAACGTAGTTCGGGCTGACATAAAATTCTAGTATGATTTCAACTTTGAAAAGAGATTTGTAACTTTTAAATAAGCATTTAAATGAGTTAAGTAGTCATTTGCTAGCATGTCAGATGGAGCATCTCTTAACCACCATAATGGCGCAGCGTGCGTTTATTTGTGAATTCAAATGTGAATAAATGTAAAAGCATTTATGTTTCTGTCTTGTACATTTTATTGTTTTTGTATAATTACTATAGTTACATGTTATTTACCATAAGTTTTATGCTGTTTGGTTGTAGCGCTAGCTTAACAGTCTACTGTACCAGTATGGTTGTAATGCTATCTTAATACAGCCTATGGTAGGAGCTTGTCATCTTAAATAACGTTATGGTTATTGGGTAAATGAGATGTGTCCTTTTTTTACTCCTACAACTAACTACCTATAATGTCAATATATTTGAATGTGCTTTTAATGCCAATCTGACATGATTTGGGGCCTTTTAACTAAAAATACTCCCCAAATGTTGTTTTTTTACAGAGGAAGCACGGATGTCACTTGAAGAAATATCTTTTTGCTCTGTAACCTCGTTAGTGTGAAAGGGTTCTGAACACAACACAAGGGTTAAGTGAATTACACTGACAATTTTATGCTCTGATTGCTTTCTCATATTTTTATGTTTGCGGAAGACTGTCCCATCATCAGTGCATCAACACGGGACCGCACATTAGAGCAGGACGTTTTTGACAAATCAATAATTACAACAGGCAAATTTTGTTTACATGATTGACAGCAATAACCGTATGTACCGTTGCAACTTAATTTGTCGCTAAAAAATAAAAGATCTGTCGCTTCGCTTGGGCTTCCTGTTGACCCGCGACAGCCTGTTCTCACAGCGGCGCAGGCACGTAAATATGGAAAGCCAAACACACCAAAAGTGGGACAAAACAGCGCGGTATTAAAGAGTTCGCGCCACGCTGACCTTTCAAAGGCGCAGCTCAATGGACCGACTCGACAGCGCAGGGAGGCCATGGTTGCTAGCGCCACCGAATGGACAGCGCAGCACTGATCAATTAAAACCGGCCACGGGAACATTAGGCTACTTTAATTTGTGTTAACGTGTTTTTCCCTGAACATAACATAATGAAAATCAGTATTAAGTTATTACATTTATTTTGCTTATTATCTTTCATATTACTTCATGTAAACAGTGTTAGCTACTTTGAATAATTGCATATATATATATATATATATATATATATATAAGCAGAGACTAATGATTTACAATACAGTGTCCAAAATTTTATTAAGGCATTTCATGTGTTTGGACCAGATGAAAACAACAATGTCACAACTGAAGAGGTAACTGAGGAAGTAACAACTCAAGAAGAAGGAGAAGATGATGACGCTGGTGAGATGGAAGTGGAATTCATCGATGTTGAAGCCATTTTGGATGAGGATGATGGCCTTCAGTACCAACTGCCAAAGCATCACCGGTGCGCTTGCCATTTGCTCAATTTGGTTTCTACCGTGGATGTCAATAATGCAAAAAGGGCAGAGGCCTACAAGAAGCTGTCAAGGTCAGCCTTCTCTAAGTGTCAGGCTCTCTGGAACAAGACTTCAAGGTCCACTATTGCTGCAGAGGTTGTTGAAGAGCACTGTAAGCTGCAGCTGTTACAGCCTAATGCAACAAGATGGAACTCATTTTATTTGGCTGTGGAGCGTATTGTGAGAATCCTTAAAGATCAAGGAGAAGGGGCAATGAGAGCTGTCTGTGCTGCACTCAAAGTTCCTATGTAAGTAGTTAGTCTGGAATTGTGTTTTTTTTCTGATTTACTACAACCCTTTTGTTTGTGTATAATCCTAAATGAATATAATGTAATGCGTAGTGGTTTTTACTGTTTTCTTTTGCTTGTGTTAGGTACAGTCCAGCAGAAATTGCCTTTTTGGGAGAATATACCACCACTATGAGTCCCGTTGCGAAGGCGACAAACATATTACAAGGAGATTCCAACATTCAGATGGGATGGCTTCTCCCTACTATTACCACCCTCATAACAAACTGGAATTGTGTTTTTTTTTCTGATTTTCTACAACCCATTTGTTTGTGTATAATCCTAAATGAATATAATTTAATGCGTAGTGGTTGTTACTGTTTTCTTTTGCTTGTGTTAGGTACAGTCCAGCAGAAATTGATAGATACATATGAAAGATAATAAGCAAAAGAAATGTAATAAAATAACTTAATACTGATCTTCATTATGTTATGTGCAGGGAAAAACACATGAAATTAAAGTAGTCTAACGTTTGGGCGGCGTGGTTTTAAAGGGGTCATATGATGCGATTTCAATTTTTCCTTTCTCTTTGGAGTGTTACAAGCTCTTGGTGCATAAAGAAGCTCTGTAAAGTTGCAAAGACTAAAGTCTCAAATCCAAAGAGATATTCTTTATAAAAGTTAAGACTTGTCTTTCACCGTGGACGAAGCAGAGTCCAACCCGGGGTGGTCACATGTGGTTGCCACAAGCCCGCCGGCCGCACCGTTCTCAAGCCTGCCGGCCGTTCCTCACTCAAGCCCACTGTGTGTGACGCTGTGTGACGCATTTTATGGAGGACTGTTTCCTGAACCTGCAGAGTAGCCTACAATGGGTCTTTGCTCAAAGGCTGTTCTATAAAGTTGGGCAGTTCCAACTTTGCAAGGACAGTCTGGCGCTTCTGACTCACAGCCTGTAAGTAAATTTTTTATATTTCAAGAATTTGCCACTGATGATTCAAACACGAGTTTTG